AGTAAGGAAGTGTTTACTAGAATTGGATGTGACAAAGGCTATAGGTCCAGATGGAATCTCCCCTTGGATAATAAAGGAAGGAGCAGAAGAACTGTGCCTCCCGCTCTCCATGGTGTATAACAAATCACTGGCAACAGGGGAACTGCCAGAAATTTGGAAAGCAGCTAACGTAGTCCCGATATACAAGAAAGGGGATAGACAGGAGGCACTGAATTACAGACCAGTGTCCCTAACCTGCATACCAAGCAAGCTGATGGAGAAGATTGTGCGAAGAAAGCTAGTGGAACATCTGGAGCGAAAGAACTTTGTAACACAGCATCAACATGGATTCAGGGATGGCAGGTCCTGCCTCACAGGGTTACTTGAATTCTACGACCAGGCAACAAAAATAAGGCAAGAAAGAGAAGGGTGGGCAGACTGCATATTTTTGGATTGTCAGAAAGCCTTTGACAGAGTGCCACACAAGAGGCTAGTGAAAAAACTGGAGATGCAGGCTCAGATTGGCGAGACGTTACGAGTGGAGTACCGCACGGGTCAGTCCTTGGACCTATACTGTTTCTGATATATGTAAATGATCTTCCAGAGGGTATAGAATCGTTTCTCTCAATGTTTGCCGATGATGCAAAAATTATGAGGATTGAAACTGAGGACGATAGTAGGAGGCTACAAGATGACCTAGACAGAGTGAATGGTCCTACAAATGGTTGTTGAAGTTCAACCCGAGTAAATGCAAAGTAATGAAACTAGGTGGTGGAAATAGGAGGCCAAACACAGGATACAGAATAGGAGATGAAGTACTTAATGAAACGAACAGAGAGAAAGATCTAGGAGTTGATATCACACCAAACCTGTCTCCTGAAGCCCACATAAAAAGAATAACGTCTGCGGCATATGCGAGGCTGGCTAACATCAGAACAGCGTTCAGAAACCTGTGTAAGGAATCATTCAGAATCTTGTACACCACATATGTAAGACCAATCCTGGAGTATGCGGCCCCAGCATGGAGCCCGTACCTTGTCAAGCACAAGACGAAGCTGGAAAAAGTCCAAAGGTATGCCACTAGACTAGTCCCAGAACTAAGAGGCATGAGTTACGAGGAAAGGCTGCGGGAAATGCACCTTACGACACTGGAAGACAGAAGAGTAAGGGGAGACATGATCACAACCTACAAAATCCTCAGAGGAATCTACCGGGTAAACAAGGATAAACTATTCAACACTGGTGGGACGCGAACAAGGGGACACAGGTGGAAACTGAGTACTCACATGAGCCACAGAGTCGTTAGAAGGAACTTTTTCAGTGTCAGAGTAGTTAACGGATGGAATGCATTAGGCAGTGATGTGGTGGAGGCTGACTCCATACACAGTTTTAAATGTAGATATGATAGAGCCCAGTAGGCTCAGGAATCTGTACACCAGTTAATTGACAGTTGAGAGGCGGGACCAAAGAGCCAAAGCTCAACCCCCGCAAGCACAAATAGGTGAGTACACACACACACACACCTGTAAGCAGCCCGTGACAGCTGACTAACTCCCAGGCACCTATTTACTGCAAGGTAACAGGGGCATAGGGTGAAAGAAACTCTGACCGCCGGTTTTTCTGCGGCACCACAGGATCACAAGTTCAGCGTGCTGTCCGCTCGGCCGGCCGGCCCCATACGAGACCGTGCCGAGGTGGGCGGAGCTTGACGGTCCAGGAGGATACTCACCTAGTTGTGCTTGCGGGGGTTGAGCCCTGGCTCTTTGGTCCCGCCTCTCAACTGTCAATCAACTGGTGTACAGGTTCCTGAGCCTACTGGGCTCTATCATATCTACACTTGAAACTGTGTATGGAGTCAGCCTCCACCACATCACTTTCTAGTGCATTCCATTTACTAACTACTCTGACACTGAAAAAGTTCTTTCTAATGTCTCAGTGGCTCATTTGGGTACTCAGCTTCCACCTGTGTCCCCTTGTTCGCGTCCCTCCAGTGTTGAATAGTTCATCCTTGTTTACCCGGTCGATTGCCCTGAGGATTTTATAGGTTGTGATCATGTCCCCCCTTACTCTTCTGTCTTCCAGTGTCGTAAGGTGCATTTCCCGCAGCCTTTCCTCCGCAGGGTGGGGCGGTGCCGAAGTGGGCGGAGCTTGATGGTCCAGGAGGGTGGGGCGGTGCCGAAGTGGGCGGAGCTTGATGGTCCAGGAGGGTGGGGCGGTGCCGAAGTGGGCGGAGCTTGATGGTCCAGGAGGGTGGGGCGGTGCCGAAGTGGGCGGAGCTTGATGGTCCAGGAGGGTGGGGCAGTGCCGAGGTGGGCGGAGCTTGATGGTCCAGGAGGGTGGGGCGGTGCCGAAGTGGGCGGAGCTTGATGGTCCAGGAGGGTGGGGCGGTGCTGAGGTGGGCGGAGCTTGATGGTCCAGGAGGGTGGGGCGGTGCTGAGGTGGGCGGAGCTTGATGGTCCAGGAGGGTGGTCCAGGAGGGTGGGGCAGTGCCGAGGTGGGCGGAGCTTGATGGTCCAGGAGGGTGGGGCGGTGCTCAGGTGGGCGGAGCTTGATGGTCCAGGAGGGTGGGGCGGTGCCGAAGTGGGCGGAGCTTGATGGTCCAGGAGGGTGGGGCGGTGCCGAAGTGGGCGGAGCTTGATGGTCCAGGAGGGTGGGGCGGTGCCGAAGTGGGCGGAGCTTGACAGTCCAGGAGGGTGGGGCGGTGCTGAGGTGGGCGGAGCTTGACAGTCCAGGAGGGTGTGGGCAGTGCCGAGGTGGGCGGAGCTTGATGGTCCAGGAGGGTGGGGCGGTGCCGAAGTGGGCGGAGCTTGATGGTCCAGGAGGGTGGGGCGGTGCTCAGGTGGGCGGAGCTTGATGGTCCAGGAGGGTGGGGCGGTGCCGAAGTGGGCGGAGCTTGATGGTCCAGGAGGGTGGGGCGGTGCTGAGGTGGGCGGAGCTTGATGGTCCAGGAGGGCGGGGTGGTGCTGAGGTGGGCGGAGCTTGACAGTCCAGGAGGGCGGGGTGGTGCTGAGGTGGGCGGAGCTTGACAGTCCAGGAGGGCGGGGCGGTGCTGAGGTGGGCGGAGCTTGACAGTCCAGGAGGGCGGGGCGGTGCCGAGGTGGGCGGAGCTTGACAGTCCAGGAGGGCGGGGTGGTGCTGAGGTGGGCGGAGTTTGACAGTCCAGGAGGGCGGGGCGGTGCTGAGGTGGGCGGAGCTTGATTGTTACAAGGGCAGGTTGGTGGGCGGAACTTGAGGCGGTGCGAGTGCAGGGTGTGGGTGGAGCGTGAGGGTGTGCTGGGTGGGGCTGATTGAACGGGTGGGTGGTGTTGATGGGCGGCACATAATAGTAAGCAGGGCGGGAAAGTGAGTGCCGGGAAAGGGTGGCGCGTGAGGCTAAACTGGGCGGGGTTATTTCCGCGTAAGTTGACGGGTCAGTGAGGGTGGGCGGCTTGTATTGGAGGAGGGTGTCGCGGAATGGGCGGCGGGAAGGTATGGGTGGGCGGCGCAGGAGGGTGCGCGGGCGGAGGTACTGGCGTATGGTGGCGCGCAGCGAGCACCAGTCTGGCGCGAGCAGCATGAGCGACCGCACGTCGTTCCGCGTCCCTCCCGCACCTCACTGCTCCCGTCGTTCCTCACCTCTGCCATGAAGGCGCCCTGCTGTCTCCTGGGGGCGGCTGCCCTACCGCGCCCCCCAGAGCCCTGGGGGGCCGCCCCTCGCCCCCCCAGGGCACGCCCAGTGCCCCGCGGCTCATATACTTACATGTTGTGTGTGTGGTGGGTAATGTTGGCAGTGACTAGGGCCAGTGCGGCGGGCACCGACTGCCCCGTCAGGACAGATGCCAGTGACGTGGCGTCCAAGGCGTGGGTGTCGCCGCAGGTGGTGGAGGCACTGGTGCGGGAGGTGGGTGTCGCCACGCCCGGACACCCCTACACCGTGAGTGCCGTCGTCACCAGGAAGCTCCGGGAGTACACAGGGCGCTCACGCGTCAAGAAGCGCGCCACTCTCACCCTCACCTTCCGGCTACCACTCGCGCACCCTCAAAATAGTGCCCGAAATAGTGACAGTGTCGATGACTGTTTGGTCAGTGCCACCCTGAGGGCCAGCCGCAAGTACCTGCTGTTCCTGAGCGGGCCCAAGGAGCGGGGAGTGCCGCCTGTGCCGGTGGCGGCACCCGAGCTCGCCTCCAAGAAGCTGCGACGACTCGTCCGTAAGACGGTCTGCAAACACTGCGGTGAGTACCTCCTTATGGTCACGTTATCTCTTACCTTGCTATAGTGAGGCCTGTGGTACTGTGTGGCGGACCAGCCGTACCGTGCTGCACTGTGTAACTCCTTACCGTGACATTACCTTGCTATGATTTCGGGGCTTAGCGTCCCCGAGGCCCGGTCCCCGACCAGTCCTCATGGTTGATGGTCCGGTCAACCAGGCTGTTCGCAACCTGACGTATGAATGACAGCCCGGTTGATCAGGTATCCTAAGGAGGTGTTATGGAGTTCTCTCTCTTGAACACTGTGAGGGGCGGGCCAGTTATGTCCCTTATGTGTAGTGGAAGCGTGTTGAACAGTCTCGGGCCTCTGATGTTGATAGTTCTCTCTTGAACACTGTGAGGGGTCGGCCAGTTATGTCCCTTATGTGTAGTGGAAGCGTGTTGAACAGTCTCAGGCCTCTGATGTTGATAGTTCTCTCTTGAACACTGTGAGGGTCGGCCAGTTATGCCCCTTATGTGTAGTGGAAGCGTGTTGAACAGTCTCGGGCCTCTGATGTTGATAGTTCTCTCTTGAACACTGTGAGGGGTCGGCCAGTTATGCCCCTTATGTGTAGTGGAAGCGTGTTGAACAGTCTCGGGCCTCTGATGTTGATAGTTCTCTCTTGAACACTGTGAGGGGTCGGCCAGTTATGCCCCTTATGTGTAGTGGAAGCGTGTTGAACAGTCTCGGGCCTCTGATGTTGATAGTTCTCTCTTGAACACTGTGAGGGGTCGGCCAGTTATGTCCCTTATGTGTAGTGGAAGCGTGTTGAACAGTCTCGGGCCTCTGATGTTGATAGTTCTCTCTTGAACACTGTGAGGGGTCGGCCAGTTATGTCCCTTATGTGTAGTGGAAGCGTGTTGAACAGTGTCAGGCCTCTGATGTTGATAGTTCTCTTTTGAACACTGTGAGGGGTCAGCCAGTTATGTCCCTTATGTGTAGTGGAAGCGTGTTGAACAGTCTCGGGCCTCTGATGTTGATAGTTCTCTCTTGAACACTGTGAGGGGTGGGCCAGTTATGTCCCTTATGTGTAGTGGAAGCGTGTTGAACAGTCTCGGGCCTCTGATGTTGATAGTTCTCTCTTGAACACTGCGAGGGGTCGGCCAGTTATGTCCTTTATGTGTAGTGGAAGCGTGTTGAACAGTGTCAGGCCTCTGATGTTGATAGTTCTCTTTTGAACACTGTGAGGGGTCGGCCAGTTATGTCCCTTATGTGTAGTGGAAGCGTGTTGAACAGTCTCGGGCCTCTGATGTTGATAGTTCTCTCTTGAACACTGTGAGGGGTGGGCCAGTTATGTCCCTTATGTGTAGTGGAAGCGTGTTGAACAGTCTCGGGCCTCTGATGTTGATAGTTCTCTCTTGAACACTGCGAGGGGTCGGCCAGTTATGTCCTTTATGTGTAGTGGAAGCTTGTTGAACAGTGTCAGGCCTCTGATGTTGATAGTTCTCTTTTGAACACTGTGAGGGGTCGGCCAGTTATGTCCCTTATGTGTAGTGGAAGGGTGTTGAACAGTCTCGGGCCTCTGATGTTGATAGAGTTCTCTCTCAGAGTACCTGTTGCACCTCTGCTCTTCAACGGGGGTATTCTGCACATCCTGCCATGTCTTCTGGTCTCATGTGGTGTTATTTCTGTGTGCAGGTTTGGGACCAGCCCCTCTAATATTTTCCTCGTGTAAATTATTATGTATCTCTCCCGCCTGCGCCCAAGAGAATATTGATCTAGGCGCTTTAGTCGGTCCCAGTAGTTTAGATGTTTTACTGAGTGGATTCCAGCAGTAAAGGATCTCTGCACACTCTCCAGGTCAGCAATTTCTCCAGCTTTGAAAGGGGCTGTCATTGTGCAGCAGTACTCCACTCTAGAGAGCACTAACGCTGGCACAGCGGCAGGCGCCCCTCTTGCTGGCACAGCGGCAAGCGCCCCTCTTGCTGGCACAGCGGCAGACGCCCCTCCTGCTGGCACAGCGGCAGACGGCCCTCCTGCTGGCACAGCGGCAGGCGCCCCTCCTGCTGGCACAGCGGCAGGCGCCCCTCCTGCTGGCACAGCGGCAGATGCCCCTCCTGCTGGCACAGCGGCAGGCGCCCCTCCTGCTGGTACAGCGGCAGACGGCCCTCCTGCTGGCACAGCGGCAGACGGCCCTCCTGCTGGCACAGCGGCAGACGCCCCTCCTGCTGGCACAGCGGCAGGCGCACCTCCTGCTGGCACAGCGGCAGGCGCACCTCCTGCTGGCACAGCGGCAGGCGCACCTCCTGCTGGCACAGCGGCAGGCGCACCTCCTGCTGGCACAGCGGCAGGCGCCCCTCCTGCTGGCACAGCGGCAGGTGCCCCTCCTGCTGGCACAGCGGCAGGCGCCCCTCCTGCTGGCACAGCGGCAGGCGCCCCTCCTGCTGGCACAGCGGCAGGCGGCCCTCCTGCTGGCACAGCGGCAGACGCCCCTCCTGCTGGCACAGCGGCAGACGCCCCTCCTGCTGGCACAGCGGCAGGCGCCCCTCCTGCTGGCACAGCGGCCGTACGCCACTCCTGCTGGCACAGCGGCAGGCGCCCCTCCTGCTGATACAGCGGCAGGCGCCCCTCCTGCTGGCACAGCGGCAGACGCCCCTCCTGCTGGCACAGCGGCAGGCGCCCCTCCTGCTGGCACAGCGGCAGGCGGCCCTCCTGCTGGCACAGCGGCAGGCGGCCCTCCTGCTGGCACAGCGGCAGACGCCCCTCCTGCTGGCACAGCGGCAGACGCCCCTCCTGCTGGCACAGCGGCAGACGCCCCTCCTGCTGGCACAGCGGCAGACGCCCCTCCTGCTGGCACAGCGGCAGACGCCCCTCCTGCTGGCACAGCGGCAGGCGCCCCTCCTGCTGGCACAGCGGCCGTACGCCACTCCTGCTGGCACAGCGGCAGGTGCCCCTCCTGCTGGCACAGCGGCAGGCGGCCCTCCTGCTGGCACAGCGGCAGGCGCCCCTCCTGCTGGCACAGCGGCAGACGCCCCTCCTGCTGGCACAGCGGCAGGCGGCCCTCCTGCTGACACAGTGGCAGACGCCCCTCCTGCTGGCACAGCGGCAGACGCCCCTCCTGCTGGCACAGCGGCAGACGCCCCTCCTGCTGGCACAGCGGCAGACGCCCCTCCTGCTGGCACAGCGGCAGACGCCCCTCCTGCTGGCACAGCGGCAGGCGGCCCTCCTGCTGGCACAGCGGCAGGCGGCCCTCCTGCTGGCACAGCGGCAGGCGGCCCTCCTGCTGGCACAGCGGCAGACGCCCCTCCTGCTGGCACAGCGGCAGACGCCCCTCCTGCTGGCACAGCGGCCGTACGCCACTCCTGCTGGCACAGCGGCAGGCGCCCCTCCTGCTGGCACAGCGGCAGACGCCCCTCCTGCTGGCACAGCGGCAGGCGGCCCTCCTGCTGACACAGTGGCAGACGCCCCTCCTGCTGGCACAGCGGCAGACGCCCCTCCTGCTGGCACAGCGGCAGACGCCCCTCCTGCTGGCACAGCGGCAGACGCCCCTCCTGCTGGCACAGCGGCAGACGCCCCTCCTGCTGGCACAGCGGCAGGCGGCCCTCCTGCTGGCACAGCGGCAGGCGGCCCTCCTGCTGGCACAGCGGCAGGCGGCCCTCCTGCTGGCACAGCGGCAGACGCCCCTCCTGCTGGCACAGCGGCAGACGCCCCTCCTGCTGGCACAGCGGCAGACGCCCCTCCTGCTGGCACAGCGGCAGACGCCCCTCCTGCTGGCACAGCGGCAGACGCCCCTCCTGCTGGCACAGCGGCAGACGCCCCTCCTGCTGGCACAGCGGCAGGCGGCCCTCCTGCTGGCACAGCGGCAGGCGGCCCTCCTGCTGGCACAGCGGCAGGCGGCCCTCCTGCTGGCACAGCGGCAGGCGCCCCTCCTGCTGGCACAGCGGCAGACGCCCCTCCTGCTGGCACAGCGGCAGACGCCCCTCCTGCTGGCACTGCGGCAGGCGGCCCTCCTGCTGGCACAGCGGCAGGCGGCCCTCCTGCTGGCACAGCGGCAGGCGGCCCTCCTGCTGGCACAGCGGCAGGCGCCCCTCCTGCTGGCACAGCGGCAGGCGCCCCTCCTGCTGGCACAGCGGCAGGCGGCCCTCCTGCTGGCACAGCGGCAGGCGCCCCTCCTGCTGGCACAGCGGCAGACGCCCCTCCTGCTGGCACAGCGGCAGGCGCCCCTCCTGCTGGCACAGCGGCAGGCGCCCCTCCTGCTGGCACAGCGGCAGGCGCCCCTCCTGCTGGCACAGCGGCAGGCGGCCCTCCTGCTGGCACAGCGGCAGGCGCCCCTCCTGCTGGCACAGCGGCAGGCGCCCCTCCTGCTGGCACAGCGGCAGGCGGCCCTCCTGCTGACACAGCGGCAGGCGGCCCTCCTGCTGGCACAGCGGCAGGCGGCCCTCCTGCTGGCACAGCGG